TACTTCAGAGACACTAGTTTTAAAACCAGGAATAGACTCAGCAAATAGGGATAAGCACATCAGACAACAATAATAACATCATAAGGAATACGCATTTACGGTCACGAGTCACTTCTCAATTCCAATTCACATTATCATCCAATCATCATTCATATCACATAATCATCGATGGCGCCACGGGACCAATCGCATGCCCCGAACATGAGGGTTAATGCCTATAGCATTAACACGGCCCCGCAGCACCCTACCTCAGTACCGCAGTACGAGGGGAGTTGATCGCAACCAACCCTTTGAGAACCGCTGACGAACTCAACGTCGGACCACGATCCGACACACCGCTAACGCGCCCAGTCGGTGGACCGCGATCCCCTTTACAAGGGGGGACTTACGACCCTACACACCGTTGATGCGCACAATCGGCATGCCGTAGCGGATCAAGCCCGACACACCACTGAGCTAAACTCAGTCGGTGGGCAAAGATCCTTGGAGACTACGGTCCTACATACCGATGTCCCACCACTCGGTGGGTCGCAGCCAGTCGTAGCCCTACACACCGCCTGATTACTCAGGTCGGTGGACTACAACCTTCCTCGGCTTGTTGGCCCCATACCGCCTGGCGCATCCCGGTCAGTGGGTCATATCACCGAGGTCCATGTGGACTTTCAGTCCTATACATAATCTTTATATACCTGACCGGTCTCTACCAGCAAAGTTAACAGTTGGGATGGTTCTCAACCCATTCAACTGCCCGTATAGTGGACCTCAGTCCTATATCATATCAATATCCCTGACCGATCTTAACCGGCCTGGTTAACAGTTGGGATGGTTCTCAGCCCATTCAACTACCCGTATAGCCCAATTGGTCTTAACCAAGTTGGGGTCATGCATCACGTAACACACAATAGCACATAATAACACATAATTCACATAGGGAAGGGGGAGACATATAATTAAGCTTACATGTGATCATTCACACACTAAGAATGGTTCCTAAGGGCTCATATAACTTCCACCTAGGTCCACGGGTTACCAATTCAACTAGCATGCAATTCCTAAGACTCGTTTTAACCTACGAATGGTACCCGAAATTCCAAACTAGACTCATGCACGACAAACGGGGTCCGTTGGGACACCATGGGGGACGGGGAACATCAAACGGGGAAGCCGGGGACCCGGGGTGGGGTGTGGACCAGCGGGTAGCTGGTGGGTGGGGGTCACCCGCCGGCTGCCCGCCGGTGGGCGCTGTTCCGGGCAGCGGGTAGCTGGCGGGTAGCCGGCTGCCCGGTGGCTGCCCGCTGCCGGGCAGCGCCTCTTTGGGCAGCGGGTAGGTGGTGGGTTCCCCACCCCCACCTACCCCCCACTGACTCTTTTCTCATATATTCGTCCCGGGGACCTTTGTGGAACCCGAAACCATGCTTAGACACTTTTAAACGCAAATAACGACACCACGTAAGCAATTAACGGATCAAAAGCAAGGATCATGTAGGACTTATCCTATTATGACTTCTAAATGTAAACAACACCTGAACATGCGAATTTCCACCCAAATACAACTCGAGAACATCAAAATACAAATTCCCAATCCAACCTAGGGCTCTAATCCCACCCAAATCATCAAGAACATATTTAATCTTTAACATCAAGAAAATATCATGATTCGTCAAGAATCATCACATCATAATCAAGTACTTCTTCTTAACATTAAGATCATCAAGATTATCAAGAAAGCATATAAATCATCTTATCAATCATCAAGAACATAACATAATTATCATAGAAGAATTAAATCAAGACACAAGAATATAGAGGGAGGCCAAGGAAGGAGATTATAGCGAAGAAAATAGGTTTTGTTGAGACATGGGTTACCTCTTAACCTTAATTAATCATCCCTTGGCTATTAAGGTTCTTCCCTAAGATTTCCATCCGTTTTGATCTCCCTAGGCTTGGTGGTGGGGAGTCCCTTGGGAGTTCTTGTGTGGTGATATTTATTGTGGTGTGACTTCTAGGTGCCTCCTATGTCCTTTTATATATATATATATATATATATATATATATATATATATATATATATATATATATATATATATATATATTTAGGAGTCCTAATTAGGGTTTGAATGGTATGGGTTTACTAATTCTATTCCTTATAGGATTAAGGACTTGTTTTAGGGATAAGGGTCCATGGTGGACCATATTAATTAATTAAAGAGAATCCTAACCATAATCTGAATAGTAAAGGTATACTTTCTTTATTCCTACTAGGCTTATGACTCTAGTTTAGGCAAGGGTCCATGATCCGTGGTGGACCACGTTAATTAATTAAAGGGATTTCTAATCAAATTAAATCGTTTTTAATTATTATTAATGGAATTAATTAAATAATTAATTCGGGATTAAGGGCCGTAACACGGGGTGTTACACCCTCCCCCCTTACAAGAAGCTTTGTCCCCGAAGCTTAGACACAGGTTACTCCCCTTGTTCCCAGTTCTAATGTAGTTTTATCGTTAAATTAGGGAAATGTAGGATATGCTTGTTTCCTAATAAGCGTAGGATGGGGATTGATCAAGTCAGAAGGCAAGTAAGGATCGGGATATAGATGTACCTTGGTTTCCCATCCCCGAGCTTGAAGCTCCGCGTGCGCCAAGCATGGCCTTAATTGCCGCCACTCTCCTGTCCAAGGATCTCGTCGCGAGAATCAAGGACGAAAATTCTTCATTCATGATTCGGTTTTGCCTCAAGAGTTGCGCGAGGATGCACTCGTTGGTGGACCTCTCGTCTCGATCCCCCGCGTTCCCCCTTTCCTGCGCTAGTTCCGGTTGGCTTGGCTCACTATTTTCTTCTTGCTCTTCATGTTCCTCGCTTTCTTGCATCGCTCATTTCATTTTCTTGTTCGAGATACCCAATTGGTCCACTAGCCTTCTCTGTTCAGCCGGGGGTTTCAAGCAAATCTCTTCAAGGGTAATGTACTGTCCCTCTCCGACATGATAGATGTCGTTGCGGCAGAGGTTTTGAGCATTGAAAACCATCCCACTCATGGGCCTGACTTCGGTCAAGCTTGTTTCCACCCCTTTCCTTTCCATGATCCAACTTAGGATCATCCCGTAGGGTAAACTGAGTCGGTTTCTAGATTTGCAGAACTCCATGTGCTTCAACATAAGAGTGAGTAAATTGAATTTGACCTTATGCTTAAGAAAATAGGCAAAGGTGCACTCTAGGCTTCCCACATCTTTGCTCTTGATGTTAGTGGGTAACAGGCTATCTGTCACGATAATGACTAACAGCTTTTGTTCGGCAGTTAACAACTTCTTAATTGGCCTTGTGGCCGGAGTGAAATCGTCTTCCCTTCCCAACAAATAACTAAGGTAATCCTCGTACCCCATGTCTCGGGTACTAATCCATGCTTTCCGGTCATAATCTAACACGCCCGTGGCGGCTAATTTCAGAAGTTTAGCCAAGCGGGCCTCGGTTAGCACTATCTCTTTGCCTTAGACCTTGGAGGTGATCTCCATCTTGTCCCCGTTCTTGGTGGCTACCAAGTGGTGGTAGAATTCCTTCACCAATTCGGGGTACGTATCGCCTTTTATTTCAAGGTACGTACCCAGCAAGCCTTGGAATTTAAGCATATCAACCAACTCCGGAGAGAATTGGTCGGGTTCTAGTGCTTTACCTCCCAATACCGTGTAGTCGGCATTGTTCCACTCCGGGACTCGGGCGTTGACGGGGCTCTTCGGCATTGTAGAATTTTAGGAGGTGGCTACGGATGCGGGGTCGATTTTCCGGCGAGGACTTTGGTGGGATTTTCCGGCGGGTGCGGCGGACGACATTTTTGGGGTGGGGGTTCTCGCGTAGGGTACGGCCGAGGTGGTGGTGCGGCGGTTGCCCAGTCCTTGCGGTGTGATGGCGTGGTGTCGCGTCGCGGTCGGGCGGCTGCGAGGTGGCTGGTCGCGGTGCGCGGCTGTGGCGGTGCGTCGGCCGTGGTCATCCGGCGGGCGGTGGACGGGCGACGGGTGGGTGATGGATGGGAGGTCGACGGCGGCAGTTGGTGGCTGGGTGAGAGAGAGGGAGAGAGAGAGAGAGAGAGAGAGAGAGAGAGAGAGAGAGAGATAGGAAGAAGAATAAGGGAAGGAGGAGGAAGGGTTTTTTATTTGGGGATTTTGGGATTCTAGGGGTTTGGAATAGGGTTAAGAAGGTGTTGTCTCCTTTAGGTTTTGAGACATAAGTGATGGTTCGATGGTCATGGTATGGGTTTTGAAGTGGATGGTTAATGGTTTAATTCTCACTAGTTACATTAATGCTCTTGGTGCATCTATTTCATGTTTTTGGGCTTGATTTCATTTGGTTGCCTCAAAACGGGATTTTTAAATTTCTGATGGCGTTCCTAGATTTGTCAAGTTTGATATAAGGTGACGTAGCGTTTTTTATTACTAGGACTGGGTTGGTCGAACTAACTGATAAAATTTTTACTACTAGAATTACGGGAATCCTAAATAATTGAACTAAGTAAACAGTTATAAATAAAAGGGGTAGTTTACAATGGTTTGCTTGTTTTAACCTAGACAAAACTCTTCTCCCGGATTCTCCCCTAGTTGGCTTGTGGGGTCTTCGTCCTCCCCAATTGGGCCTTCGGTACCGATTCCGGCTTTGGCTTCGAGGTCGGCTTGGGTGCGGCTGATGACGAACACCTTTCCGGGTGCCCCGTAGTTCCCTCGGTTGTTTGCATTCCCTTGTTGGACCGCGTTTGCAGGTCTTGCACTTGGGGGTTGGGTGCACTGGAAGGCTTTCTGTCCTTCTCCTCCGCAGTTGAAGCATCGTAAGGCATTCCCGAAGCAATCCTTGCCCATATGATCCTTGCCACACCTTCTGCATAGGAATTGTCTTTTGTTAGCCTCGTTGTACCTTATAGGCGGTCCTTGGGTTGGTGGGTTAACCGCACTTGCGTTAGAGTCGTTCCTAGCTCTCTTTACAGGTGGTCTCCCACTCCCGTTATTCCTTTTCCAGATCTATTCCTGAACTCCCTGTTGTAGGAGTTGGATTCGGTAAAGGTCGGCGGCGCTAGCATAAGCCTCGTTGGGGGTCCTTGTTTTACTTACGGTCAAAGCCTCCCGAGTCTCGAAGTTGAGACCTGCCACAAACTTCTCTACTTTAGTCGCCTCTATAGGCACCAATTCAGGTGCGAAATGGGCCAGCTCGAGGAATTGTTTGTGGTATTCCACAACTATAGTCATTCCCTGCTTTAGGTGGAGGAATTCTTCGTACATCGCTGCCCTCACATGTGCGGGGTAGAAACATCCCCGTAATCGAGCCTTCAGGGTTTCCCAGTTGAATCCCGGTTCTTGTCTACCGGCAGGTCCCTCGTGAACCCACCAAAGGTCAGCCTCATGTCCGAAGTAGAACGAGGCTAGTTCCATGTGGCATCCCTCCGGGCATTCTACTACTTCAAAGATCTTGTTGAACGTTCTAATCCATTCCTCGAGGGTCGTAGGATCTTCTTCCCCTGCGAAGATGGGTGGGAGGTGGCTCGAGACTTGGCGAGCCACGTCTGGGTTCCCGTTCGGGGGTGGTCGGTTGTTGTTATTGAGGATGGCGTTGCTCAGCGTCTGGGTGACCTGAGTCAACTGTTGTAGGTTCTGGGTTAACGAATCTTGGGTAGGAGGCTCAGGGGTTCTCGACTGGTTCCTTGTTGGCGTCATTCCGGTGTCAACAGGATCATCACCGATCGTAACGGTAAGTTAGGGATTCGCATCCTTATAGTTTTTTCCCTATAGCATGATGTTGAGTTGGGTATTTATCAAGATGAATCTGCCTGAGTGTGGGGAAAGAATACAAAGGACTGTGAGGACGGCTTTAACTGCTACCAATCTGAGATACTACTATTTGTATCAGACAGTTGATAAGGAGTACCTCACTTTGTCACAGATTGCGAGGAAACCTTTTGATGAAAGAATAACACTGTGGTCAATTTGAATATACCACAAAAGAAGTGGGCAAGTGTGGGAATTGAAGCCAGACACACTGCTGAGGCGAGTGGCGAAGGTAACGCCGTGGGAATAGATCAAGAGATGAGAAATGAGGATAAGGGAGCACCAGTTGCAGCACCTCCGATAGTGCCGCAGGGAGAGTATATGGGTGGACCTAGGGGACACTCATAAGATGACATGTACGAGATGATCAACACAAGGTTTAATAATTTGAGTGCACAAGTCAATTATGGATTTGCTAATTTTGATCAAAGAGCAGCTGTGATAGAGGAAAGGATGGGAATTGAGAATGTCCAGAGATGGACCCCGTACAGTTGGGACCCTAGCTACATGCCACCAGGACGTTCATCGGGAGGCTTTGATGAAGGTAATCAGTTAAGCTTTAAAGTTCAGTTAGTAGTTAAGCTTGCGTAGCTAGTTGTGTTTAAGGTTTAGTAAAAATAACTAAGAAGCTAAGACATTCCTATTTCACCAATGTGTTCCACAAGAAATCCTTAAACCAAATCTCGATACTCCTAGTATCCTTCTGAAAGTTTCCTTACCAAGTGATTCATTCGTTTTTTCTAAGTTTCGGGTTGAAACTTCCTTTAAGTGGGGTAGGATGTGACAACCCAAAATTTAATTTTAAAAATCCAGTTTTAAGAAAATCTAAAATAGCCAATTTTCACTCCATAAAAAAAAAGTTTGCGATGAAATTGGTGTTGAATAAATTATTTTTAGCTACTTTAAATTAAATTCAACACCAAGACTTGATTTAAACCCAACATCCTAAATTTTGGGGTACATTGCGTGTAACACCCCTGAATTTTAAGATATTTAAAACTTATAAAATAAAGGCGAATCTAACATTTGAATCCCAAACAGAGCATAAACTAAACATGATAGTCGGGGTGCTATGCCACACCTGAGCTAGAGAACTCAAATGCACAGGCTAAACTAACTAACAGAGCGTAATTAATATCCAAGTATAAATCAAGGCACGCAGACCATCTCATCAAAGCTAGAACTATCTAAACTAAGTCCACGAATCCAACTAGCGCACTCCGAAGCTACTCAACTGTTCCTGAAAAACATTCGGTGTAACAACCGTCAGCGAATAATGCTGGTAACCCACTCCAACGCGTTAAGTACAATATAGGTAGATATAAGAAAATCATTTTGAAACCGGAATACATATATGACCTACGAGACTCTAATTTAAATCCAAGATCAAGACTCAAGACACGATAATAGACTTGACAATATAATCATAAAGACTAGCATGAGTCCTAAGAATACGATACCAGACATAGTAGACAAATATGCTCATAAGTAGCAAATAGAGACAACAATGGCATTCAAAAACAATCAATTAACAGGTAATCATCAAGGCACACAATCCATCTTCCAACCTTATACCAAGTTCCAACCTTGTAGTTCCCCTCCGTCCTTAAATCAGTTCCAACCTATACCTCCAGGCCACCCTTATATCACCACCCCTTATTCCTCTGGGCAACTACATGCCCCCACCGACACACCACCTATCAACCACCAACATATCAAGATGGTGCCGCAGTGCCATTCACTTGATCCGCACCTCTAGTGCCAATATCAAGGGGTTAGCGCGTATAGCTCTAACATGACACCGCAACACTTATAACCTGGCCCATGCTCAACGGCAAGCTAGTCGAAGGTGGGCTTGTGCCTTTAGCACAGTAACCGCTATGGCCTGTACCTTTAGTACAATGACCGGGCACAAGTGGTGCCAACCGCCAACAATTCATTTCCACCAATCACAATCTCATCATCATCATCATCATCATCATCATCATTCACACCGGCCATTGCGTAATGACCACGATACTCATCACCATTCAATCAATCAACAAATAATCAAATAACAATCAAGATACAACAACAACGACACGTATTACACATAAATTCCTAGAACGATACCCAAAACACCAAATGAGACTCATACACGACAAACGGGGTACAATGGGATACAACGGGACACGGGGAAACAACAAACGGGGGAAAACATCATGCCCTACACCACGATTCCAGCGGGTGGGCGGCGGGTGGAGGACCACCCGCCGGTGGCGGACATACTGTAACACCCCAGATTTTCAAGATATTTAAAACTTATAAATTAAGGGTGCAATCTCATTAAATCCCAACAGAGTACGAGTGTACGGGGTGTTATGCCACACCTGAGCTAGAGAACTCAGGTGCACAGGCTAACTAACTAATGTCTCAAAGATATGAATGCATAAACGTGGCACGCAGGCCGAAAGGGAAACTAACTACTTCTATGATCCAAGCTCTAGCGCACTCCAGTGACTTAACCTTCTGTGCCTGAAAGCCAAATATATCTGTTCAGCGAGAGATGCTGGTAACCCACTCCAACGTGTTGAAATACATTACATATAGAGGTATATATAGATATACGAAAACCATTTTGAACATGAAGATGTATCCTACGAACTCTAGCTTTTAAAACCGGGAATGACTCGACAGATAAGGCTAGACACAAGCAACAGTTATAACAAGCGTATACAATCTACAACAAGCAAGACAGATAAAGCTGAGCACAATTAATAATCATAACCCAACATAATCAATCCCCAGCATAAATCCCATAGTCCCATCCCTCAAGATACTCATAACCACAACTCATCCATATCTCATCACATAGCACACTTTGTTGGCGCCACAGGACCAATCGCATGCCCATACATGAGGGTCAGCGCATATAGCTCTGACACGGCCCCGCAGCACCCTGCCCCATCTCACATTACGGAGGAGCCGATCGCAACCGACTGATGGACCTTTGTCCTACATAATATTTATATACCTGACCGGTCTTTACCAGCCTGGTTAACAGTTGGGATGGTTCTCAGCCCATTCAACTGCCCGTATAGTGGACCTTTGTCATATATAATATTTATATACCTGACCGGTCTCTACCAGCCTGGTTAACAGCCGGTATGGTTCTCAGCCCATCCGACTGCCCGTATAGTGGAACTTAGTCCTATATAATATTTATATACCTGACCGGTCTCTACCAGCCTAGTTAACAGCCGGTATGGTTCTCAGCCCACCCGACTGCCCGTATAGCCCGATTGATCTTAACCAACTCGGGGTTACATGCACACATAACACATAGCAAGTACATGCAACCCATATTAACACATTGGGAAGGGGGAGAAAACGTATAACAAGACCTATGCGTGATCCATCACATACTAAGAATAGTCCTAAGGGGTTCATACTGCTTCTACCTAGGTCAACGGGATACCAATCCAACTAGCATGCAATATAATAGACTCATAAACCTACGAACGGTACCCGAAATATCAACTAGAAAAAGGCACGATTAACGGAGTCCGTCGGGACACCACGGGGGACTGGGAAACATCAAACGGGGAAGCCAGATCCCGAGGGGGATGATTTTCCAGCGGGTAGCCGGTGGGTGGGGGGCCACCCGCCGGCTGCCCGCCGGGTATTACTGTTCCGGGCAGCGGGTCGCCGGCGGGCAGCTGCCCGCCCGCTGCCGGAGATGTGTTTTCCGGCCGTGGGTAGGTGGCGGGTCCCCTACCCCCCACCTACCCCCCACTGACTCTTATCACACAATTTCGCCCCGGGAACCATTGTGGAACCCGAAACCATGCTTAGACACTTTACAACGCAATTAACGACAACACGTAGACAATTAACGGATCAAATACGAGGAACGAACGGCACATAACCTATCATGCTTTTCTAAACATAATCAACACCCAAACATGCGATTACCCCACCCGATAACCCAAGAATAACATCATACGATACAACCTACGATTCTAATCACTTTTATATCAACAAGAATACGATTCGCCTTCTAATTGCAAGATTCGGTCAGAATAACACATAAGCATCGAGGGCATAATACAATTATCAAGAACAACACACAATCATCAAGAACTCCATATAATCATCAAGAACATCATAATAATCAAGAATCTCCCAATATCAAGATTATCAAGATCCCTCATGGGATCATCACATCAATCATCAATAATAATCATCACAAGTCATTAATACACAATAATATGGGGAAACCCTAAGGGGGAATCATAACTATGAAAATAGGTTTTGTTGAGACATGGGTTACCTCTTAGCCTTTATTTAATTCCTTGGCTATGAAGGGTCTTTCTCTAAGCTTTCTTGCTTTCTTGATTTCTTCTAGGGGATTCTTGGAGCTCTTTGGGGTGGTGGGCGTTTATTGTGGTGGGGGGTTTCTAGGTTCCTCTTAAGTCCCCTATTTATATATTTAGGAGTCCTAGTTAGGAACTAGTATTATGGGCTTGCTAATTCTATTTCTTTTGGGACTAGGGATTGGGTTTAGGGATAAGGGCCCGTGGACTATGGTGGGCCTCCTAATTAATTATTGTGATTTAATTCTTTCTTTTGGGTAATTGATTAAATGATTTAATTGATCTTAGGGGTCGTAACACGGGGTGTTACACTCTCCCCCCCTTATGAGGGGCTTCGTCCCCGAAGCCCGGTGTGTTAATCCACTCTTTCACCCCCAGGCATCCCGCATTTTGGCCTCCTGGTTAGGAATGTTGCGCCACGTTTTGCCTTAGCTGGGGTAGACTGGATTTCTGGTGGTGTTGCGATAGAAAGGGTTTAAGGCCTACCTCGGTCCTGAGCTGGGTGCCCCGCGAGTGCCCAAGGTGGCCTCGATT